GCTCTTCCACCCATCTTAAAAACCAAACAAACCCAAACCCACCACAAAAGAGGACAAAAAATCCCCACTTTTTTTTTTTCTCCTCTAGCAGGTCACTGGTTATGGTTTCCTTTAATAGAAATGTTGCTTAATCATCATTTAAGTTTTCTGAGTGGGGTTTTTTGTTTGATTTCCTGGCAACACAGTCCTCTGAAGGATGGAGCGGGTGAAAGGGGAACGAGTCTCTTCTGGGTGCCGCTGCATTCAGGGACGCTTTGATCAAAACAGCCTCTGGATCTGTCTGTGCTGAGGTTTCTTTTTAAGCAATTTAAAAGTTGCCTCAAAAATGCCAGGCTGCGTGTGTGTGACCAGAAACCTCTGTGTGTCTCCTTGTGTGATTTGCTGACCCATCAGGAGCTCATCGGGAGCTGGGCCTGTCCTGCAAGAGGGCTGAATGCAAACCCTCTGCTGAACAGACGTCCGGCAGCTGCCCTCGGAGCTGTATCAGACATTTAATTAAAAGAACAAAAGAGGGTGATGAAATGAAAGGACAGAGTACAGCTGTCTGGCAGACGGGGAGTGTGGAGAGCAGCCTGTCTGCAGCCGATAACCATCGGAGGACGAACCCGGGGAGGAGACTGCATCCGTCCCCGAGCGCAGGGCAGAGCCGCCACTTGCAAAGCTAAGCCCGCTTTTGGCGGAGCACAACAGAGCAGAGCCTGACCCTGGGCGGCCGTCTCGGTCGCTTTCCAGCCCCGCGTGGAGGCAGCTCAGGGCAGGCTACGCGCTCCTGTCGGGAGAGTTAAATGCCTAAGGAGGTTATTTTCAGAAGCTGCCAGCTGAATAGGGAGCTGCCGGACGTGCTGGGGAGACGAGAGGGGCTGACCCGGTGCGCCCGATTCATGGGCCGGAGACCGATGCTTCCCCTTGCTTGGCGTCCTCAGCTGCAAACCCTCCCCAGGAGTTAGTTAGGACAGCTGCTGAGGAAGCTGGTCCCTACCTGCTGAAAGCATCCTGCTTGATTGTGTCCCCCCGCTTAGTCTTATGGGCGCTGGGCAGCACCCGAGCTATGGTTTTGAAAAGATCAGTGCCTACAAGGTGGACGTGGGTGCCATCTGCTTGGGAGAATCCCTTTTGCACTCGCTTCTCCTTACTCCCTTCCCCACGTGCAAAACATGGGCGAGCGCTGCCCCAGGGAAGCTGTGGGGGCAAATGCATTGAAGACGCTGGGGTGCTAAGACGGGGCGGTAAGGGTCACCTCGCAGGTACCTAAGGTAGGAAGAGTTCTGCGATAAACCCGCACGGCTCTGCAAGGGTTCAGGTCTCTGTGCCAACAAACCTGATCCCAGGACCAGACCATATGCTTATGCACTTCGGGGCAGGCACCGTGTCCCAGCCACGCCTGGTGCTCCAGAAGTGACAGCGGAGGTGCAGGATGATATGCCAGTGTTTCCTTGCGAGACGTGGGGATTGCAATTGCTGCCATCGACCTCCCAAAGGGAGTGAGGCTGAACCCTGGAAGCCAGGGGTGTTGCACTCAGCCAAATGAGGGGTGCAGGGCCAGTCTGCAGGCTGAATTGGGCCCACAGATGGGATCCGTGTTTTGGATACAGGTGCCCTGGAGTGCTTCACAGACCCCCGCCTCCGAGCGCTGGCGTGGCCGCTACCTGCAATTCAATCCCGCAGCAGCATAGCGGCCGCTGCCTGCAGCTCGCTGGGCTCTCGGGCGTGCCCTGCATCCTGCCTTTGCAACCCACGGGCCCCACTGGGGCTGGATAATAGGGCTCCAGGAGCCGTATCTTTGACAGCCGTGCCGTAAGCACCTGGAAAATGTTGTATGTAATTCTGCCCAAACCTTAGGTTGGCAGGGTAGGCCGACGCGGCGCGGGCAGAGCAGGGGTGTAAATGCTGAGGGCTTCAGCTGATGCGCTCTGGTCTTCCTCTCTCCCTCAGTCTCGCATCGCCAAGCGGGGAAGGAAGCTCGTGGATTACGACAGTGCCAGACACCATTTTGAAGCCCTACAAACCGCGAAGAAGAAGGACGAAACCAAAATCGCCAAGGTAAAGCCCCGTTCCGCAGGGACGAGGCTCGGGCGTCTTGTCATTTCTTGCAGTCTGCAATAACTTTGAGAGGAGGTTTTCAAACACATTTTGCAAAGTGTCCCTGGATGCTGTTTTTGTTTAAAGAAATGGTGGGCAACAATAGAGCCACCGGACAGCTTTGTTTGGCTGGGTGCTGCCCGTCGGCTCCTTCTTGCTGTCCGTAGGAGAAGGCTCTGCAGTGTTTAGCGGGGGTCTTCTCTGCAGGGTACAAAGTGAAGCTGTCCAGGACACACGGCTGGGAGATGGTGACCACAGACGGCCAAATGGGAAAAGGAAGGGAGGGTTTTCTGGGGACTGCCCAGACCTCGGAGGAGGAAATCTGGATTCCAGTTCCTGCTCTGACACGGGATACTGTTGTGCCTCAGTCGTCCCAGCTTTAAAACAGAGATGAGATTTGCAGCTTGGGTGCTGTGCATTGGAGTCTGTGAATATTTGCCTAGTGCTGTGGGATGCCCTGGTGAAGAAACGCACAGCAGTGCAAGCGGAGATATTATGGCAGAGCTCAGATAGGTTTTGTAGCCCGGTGAAGACGAGGGTTTACAGACCAGCTGGGGTGTTGCATACAGCTGTGCGGGACCACTGAGACACTCCACCACATTCAGCACCCCGCTGCCAATGCAACCCAAATGATCTGAATTTGATTGCATTTGCCCTCGACCAGAGCAGGCGCAGCGCAGTCATGGTTCGTTCGCAGCCTGTTTGCTGCTGGCCATACATCTTCTGGTGAATGGTGCTGCTTTTTCCGACTGGGAGGTGACGTGGCCAGCTCCGGAAAATGAAACCAGGTTTATCCTCCATCCCCACGCCTCCCTTTCACCCCTCTGAGACTAGCGTTTGAGACGCGTCATTAGCACGTGTTAGCTCGTGGGTTTGACAAGCCCAGTGTGTTCGAGGCAGCATAGATTTGGATGCGCTAAGTTTTTTGAGATGAATGCTAGGTTGCCCCTTGCAATCGGCTTACGTGTTGTAAAGGCAGCTGGAGAAACCCCGATCCCACAGATCTTAAAGGGGAATTTGGCCATGAGCCTCGTCTACACTAGACGTGTTGGACATTTTAGCTGATGCATTTTTTCAGCCTAGTCCGGGCGAGGACCTAGGGGAGGGATGGGCTATATGAGGGCTAGGGGTATTGGTTCTATGTCGGGGTGGGCAAAATGTGGTCTGCAGGCTGGATGTGGCCCGTGGGGCCCCTAAAAAATTCAGAAAATTAATTATCTGAAAGAGGGTGCGAGAGTGATATGGAGGATTGGATTGACAGTTGTTAGAGGCTTCTGGTTCACACCTAAATGTTTTTCCCACCTACCTGGCTCGTGTGATTGCTCAGGCAAACCTTGGAGCAGTAAGAAGTAGTCTGCGGGCACGTCTAAATGCACCTTAATTACAGCGCATTAAGTTTAATACCTGTTATGACGGATACTAAGTTAATGCACCGTAACCGGCACTACTGTGCATTGGTGCAAACGAACACTTTTTTGTGTGACACTTAATGCTTATTGGACTAATCTACTGCACATTTGGTCATTAGCACATTTTTTGCCAGCCGTGCTAATGTGCACCAGAATGAGTCCAACGGGCATTAAGCGTCCCGTGTAGACGCGCCCGGTGTGTCTGGGGACTGCCAGACTGATTTCCATCCAGGTGGCAGTTTTGTGCTTAGGTGATCAGTTGGCAGCACTTCGTTTTAGACAGTTGGTCTTCAGTCTTCTGGGGTTTTTTTGTCATGCAATGAGGATAACCTGACAGCAACAGGGTGCAAGCAGCTGAACTGTGGATGCTCCCGAGTCCTTGCATCATGGAGAAAGCCAGTATCCCACACGCAAGGAGGTTTTAGTCGAGTGGCTCCATGGATTGAACGTTCCTCCGTGCATGTTCATATCTCAATATTCATATTAATATTGCCTGTTAATATGCAGTCTGATAAGGAATATGATATAAAGACTGAAGTTAGTAGCCAGGAGAGCAGGATTTGTTCCAGGCTCTAGTGTTGGGTGACCTTCGACAGATCCGACAGTGCCTTTCCAATGGTCACCGTGCTGTGCCTCAGTTTACCCTATCTGGAAAATGGGGATGAGGCTACTTGCCTGCCCTTGCAAAGTGCTCTGAGATCTCTGGGTGGGAGGAACCATAGAAACCCAACGGGTGGTTATTAAAGGGCAAAGGTGTATTGCCATTTAATGTCTTCTGGACATCCCAGGGAAGGAAGGGCCCCGGCGGGTCATGCAGTCCAACCCCCACGCACGGAGGCAGATCCCATCTTAGGACAACACCAACAGCAGCATAAATCCTTCTGCAGGCGTGCAGCTCCTTTCCCCCTTTGCACAGCCCGTGTGCGCCTGCCTCTTCCCCTTCAGGCAACCTCCCAGTGACTGCTGAGCTGACAACACGCCATTAAAAGAAAGCGCCGTGGCCGTCCGTCATTGCATGCGGATAATAACGGTGTCTAATTAATCCCGGCCTCTCTTTAAGCAGCTTCACAGCAAGCCCTCGGCCCAGGGTATTTGTGCGCTAAAGTCACTAACAATTCGTGTCTGTTGCTCTTTGCAGCTGGACGGCTGGTAAATAGTGTCCCAGCCCCCGCGCCCTCTCTCACCACGTCGGATCATTAATTACCGCTGCACTTGGCATGCTCGGAGGGATTTATAACTGATTGCCCCCTCGACGTTTTGTTCCTCTCTGGCCTTGGTGACGTCGGGCTGACCCAGCTCATAATGCTCTCCCTGTTGTGATTTTTTATTTTCTAACCAAGATGTCTGTCTCTCTCGTTTCTTTGTTTTTCTCTTTCCCACTCCCTCCCCCCAGCCTGTTTCGCTGCTTGAGAAAGCTGCGCCTCAGTGGTGCCAAGGGAAACTACAGGCTCATCTCGTTGCTCAAACTAATCTGCTCCGAAATCAGGTGATTGCCACCCTACCTGGCGCTAACCCTGCACGCGCGCTTCTCTTCTCGGCTCTAACCCCGTCCCGTGCAGCCGACCGGCAGGCAGCGTTCACTCTAGCTCCCCTTCAAAGCGTGTTTCGATCGTCCAGGAGCCGATCTCCGACCGGTCGAACACCACGGACACGTGAAATTGCCTCTGAGTCTGGGCCGGTGATTTTACCGGGCTGTAAAGCTATTATGTTTTGCCCTGTTTAAGTAAAGCGATGGGGAAAAGAGGATGCGGGGGAAGATCAGGGCAGATCATCTCGCGTCTTCCCACAGTTTTATTCCTGTAAGTGAGAAACTTAGGAGGATGGGTCGTGGTTCAGCAAAGCCGTACATGGGTATCACCATGAGCGTGGTTTATATATTTGTGCAACTTCAATGCAAAACTTTCCCAGGGTGAAAACCAAATGTCCCAAATTTTTTTGCTGGGAAAATGTCCAGGGATTTGGGTTGGTCAAACAATGGGCCGGTGCTGCAGAACTTGCGTCCGGCACAAGCTTTCCGAGAGGGCTCGGAGCAACGTAGAAATCTAGGGGATTGCCCAAGCGTACCTGGATTTGGAGAAACACGTTTTCGTGATGCAAATCTCCCTTGGCGCTTGCTTTCTTGGCAAGTCTTTGGGGAAGAACAGCAGGCACTGACAGGCGGGGTTAGGGTTAGGGCTAGGTAGGAAGGAAAACAAATAGCGGTGATGGGAAGAGGCAGTGAGTCATCATCTGGACTGAAAGGAACTCGACTACCTGCTTATCAGTTCTAGGAGGTCTTATCTGCTCACGTTCAAAAGCTCACACTTCCTCAAATGCCTGGTAAGTGAATCATAGGTTACAAGCCACCGCTCTTACCTTTAAAGGACCTGGGGTTTCCACGGTCCTATTTTGACTTTACAGGGGCCAATAAAACAGTGGATGGCCTCATAAACTGTGCATCTGCTGGTGCTGTTTGCAGTCTCTCGGATGCTGAACTGCAAGGGAGGAAAGGCATACAGTTCCTATGGAGAAGGCCTGCAAGGGTTTCTTGATTTTTCTTTAAGGGCTGTTTCTTACCTTAGAAATATTTGTAATGTTCTGCTGGGTATTTTTTGTTGTTGTCATTTGTTATTTTATTTTTTGGCTGGAGGCCTTTTTCTTGGGGCCTAGAGAACTGGAGAGGGGACATTTCTTAGCCCCAGATCCAAAGACTGCATGCCGCCTCTTTAGAGACTTTCTTTAAGAGTCTGAATTAAAGAGCAGTTTCACCAGTCCCAACTGATGGAAAATGAAGCCGGGTCTCAAGTATCACGATCAGTTTAAAAATCTCATGCAAAATTACAGATCCATTTTATTTGTCCTGAGCATGTATGGTATTCTGGATTTTCTTCGCTAACAGAAGTGCTAGAAATTTACTTTGACTTAAAAAAAAAAACCAAACAAACCCAACAAAACCTCACAAAATGAATTTTCATGTTAAAAAAAAGAAAAAGAAAAGGCAAGATCATAGATGTGATAAAAATCAGATTTGTGATAAGATCAGGGCGGCTAGCAATGCAGAAATCGGCTAAAAAGATAAATCAGAACCTTTATCAAATGCTCTGCTTTCAGCTTCTCATTATATCATAATCTCATTAGTCTTCCAAGGTCTCCCAGATAAATACAGTCAGCTATCTTTCATGCAAAAAAAAAAAAAAAAAGCCCTGAAACAAGCAGCCTTTCAGACCCCCGCTAGCGAGCCGAGGGGGAGCTCTGCGGAGCCTGGGAGCGGTCCCTTGCGGGGGTGCGATCAAGCTGCCCGTTACTGTTTTGGCAATGGTGTTTTTTTGCAACAAAGAGGAAACCAGCTGAGAACAGCAAATTCCTGCCTCTCCTGAGCACCGCTGAAATGCTGGCTCCTGTCTGAGCAGCTGTGTCCATCCCTAGCAGAGCTCAGGGTTTCTGCCCCCGTGTCCCAGAAACCAGTGCCCCCCAGTCACCGAGCACTGCATCCGTCTGGTTTCCCGGAGGGTCAGGAGAGCTTAGTGGTTAGCGAGCTAGTCGAGGGACCAGGGTCCTGCTCTCTGCTCTGGCCTTGGGTGTCCCTTGGACCTGGAGGCTGACGTATTCAGGTGTCCGGTGCCTTTGGACTTCACTCGAGCAGCTCACTTTTTGGGGGTTAGCAGACAATGACGGGAGTTTCCTCCTTGGAGGATCTGGGTCTCGGCTTCTCATCTGCAATAACACTTGTCTTGAGGATCATTGCCATGAAGACAGTTTTCAGATATACAGCAACGGGGGCCGTGCGAGTCTCTAAAAGATGCCGATTTCTTTCCTTCTTTCCCCACCGGCTGCATTCAAACCCTGCGTGGGCTGCGCCGGCTCCTCTCCTCGGTGCGCCCGACGACCGAGCCCGTGGCATTTGGGGTTCAGGGCAGCTGTCTTGGAGGCCCCCAGCCCTGCCTAGGAGGAAGCTTGCTGTGTCCAACCAAAATAAGACCCCCTCGAACAGAAGCCCTGTAATAACGTGCAGCTGAAAGAGTGGTGTCGAGCTGAAAAGTGAATTCGGCACCGTTGCCGGGCGCATCAAAGGGATTTGCGATAGGCACCACGTCGCTGCGTGCACCCCGGGACCCCTCGCTCCCTGTCGCATTTCTAGAGTGAACGCTGCCTCCGATTTTTTGACCTTTGTTTCAGGATGTCGCAGTACTTGTGGGGCTGGCTGCAGTCCCTTTCTGGGTTTCTTGAACTGAGGAAGGTGGGGGGTATTTGCTTTTCCTCTGAATTCAGCTGGTTTACTGAAAAATAACAGCAGTTCTTGCTAAATTAGTCCCTATGTAGCCTGACTCCTGGATTAATCCTGATTCAGTCCTAGCTTAGAAGGAAAATGAGACATGTTTAAACATGAATGCCTTTTTCTCTCTCTTTTTTTTTTTTTCCCTTTCTTTCTCTGTGTCTGCCTCTCTTTCTTTCGTGGCAAGTAATTAGAAATAGTCATTCATGGATAGGTTTTCAGATCCGCTGGGCCCACGTACCCTCATATCCTCTGGCCTCGAGTGTATGTAACGGTGCGTCTGCCCAAGCAGGGGTTTGCTCGGTTGGGCGGGTCAGTGGCGTGGACTCGGCTGCTGCACGCGTGGCCTTCAGGAAGGACTCGGTTAATGGGAATGAAATGACCGCACCTTTGACTCTCCTACGAAATATGAACTTTTACAGGAGAACTTTTACAATCTTTTTTCTCCTGCGTGTGAAGAAGGGTGCTTGTGCCCGAAAGCTTGCAATTAAAGACTTTTTAAAATTTTTTTTTGCAAAAATCCAGGTCTAATAAAAGGTATCGCCTTGTCCACGGGTTCCAATACACCCGTCTCCCCCCTGCCCCTGCTCGCCCTAGCGTGGCTCCACGTCGCTTTTGGAGACATGCTGTGTAACGTAGCAGAAGAGCCCAGACGGGAGGGCCTTGCAGCGCTCCTGCTCTGACCCTCGTCCCTGCGGGTGCCATTTCCAGCTTGTTCATGCTGGGAATCCACCGTGCCTTGTGCACCGTGGCAAGGAAGAGGGTGGGACCATTTTCCTTGCAATGGTTTTCTTTCTTTTTTTAAAATACGGGGCCTTGAAAAGAGGAGGAACCACACTGGAGCGGGAGGAAACACGTCGGTGCCGATTTGCAGCGTGTAGTAGGAGCCGTGGGGCACCCTCAGCCCCTGCAGCGTGCGAAGCTTGCACTGGTATCAAGCCCTTGTTTAGAAATAAACTGAGATTCATCATGTCAGTAGGGTAGGCCCCTTAAAATCTCAACACACCCCTGTTCGGTAGGTGTGAGCACCCTGTTGCAAGGGATTGCCCTGGTTTTAAATGCAGTCCTCCAGGCGGCAGCAGACGTGACAGAAGGGCTGTGCACCTGCTGGCCTCGAACCCTGCAGCTCGCAGGCCTCCTGTCCCGTTGTCCTGTCATAGTTTGGTGCTCCTACCTGGCCTCTTAAGAAAGCCAGGGGAGCAGAAAATGCCCTGTTCCCTGTCAGCATGCTTAAGGCTGAAGAAGAGTTGGTAAAAGCTCAGAAGGTGTTTGAGGAGATGAATGTCGATCTGCAGGAAGAGCTGCCTTCGCTATGGAATAGGTGGGTGCGGCGGATAGTTTGCTGGGCACGGTTAGCACAGCCGTCTCGGGACACGGGTCACTCGTGCACCGGCTGCTTCCTTTGCACCCTCCCAGCTCTGCCTGCACGTGCGTGCGATGGGGAGGGAGGAGGCGTCTGGGGGGGAAGCAGGCTTCGGTTACCAGGGCACCTCCTTGCAGCGAGGAAGGCTGCGTCGGTCCACGAGCAGCGCCTCTGCTGTGGGCGGCTGTAGGCAACTTCTCCTTATGCAGCCTCCTACTTTTATTCCTTAACGCGTGTGTCCTGCGCAGCAGCTGTCCCAGCCCACGGAGCCATCTGCGGGCTGCCCGAGTCCTCCGTACCTGCCGTTCCAACCGTGCGGGAACGTGATGTCGCCGCGAAGCGTGGGTGGGTGCCAGCGGGAGACACGCATCCGCAGAGCTGTGCGTGTCCATCTAACTCCTGCTATTTGTCTTCTTTTGGCAGTCGTGTTGGTTTCTATGTCAACACATTCCAGAGTATAGCGGGCCTGGAGGAAAACTTCCACAAAGAAATGAGCAAGGTAAGCTTGCCGGCCCTCGTCGCGTCGTGTCCATCGCTCCTCGCGCGGCGCCGGGCGGTGAATGCCCCCACTTCTGTACAGGAGGCCGGGACCGAAAGAGCGAGCCGCCAAGGGCTTTGCAATCGCGACGTGGATGTTTAAACAGTCACGAGGATGCTTCGGGGTTTCGGCGGGTGGCGCCGACGGTAGTGCATCCCCTTGACGTAGCGGCTTCTCTACTCCACCTGAGACGGACTTTGGGCTGGAGGGTTTAAGCGACTAAAATGCACCTAATTCGAGCGGTGGCAGATTTTTGGTAGATTAATCTGTGCACTTGCACAGGAGACATTTGTGGTAGTCCCTGGGAAGGCCCATGGGGCTGAGTCTTTCCTCTAGAGATGCTTTTAAAAAAATGTTCATTTATCTTTAAATAACTCGCGAATCCTCCAGGTCCATGAATTATCCACCTGATTTATATGCTCGCCATATACAACCTGCTAATCTTTTATGAGGGGACCGGGGGCTGAAGTGAAAGCAGACACATCTATTATTTTTTTTTCCCCAGCTGTAGTCCTGGCAACAATACAGCAGCTAAGCAACAAGCAATGTTATGCTCATTAAATCCCCAGCAGTAACTACTTGCAGTCAGGAGATCATGGACAGGGTCAAAACATCAGCATTGAGTCCCGCTAACACTTAGGAGGACTCTTGCAAAACCAGCCGTCTGCAGCAATGACATATACTCCCACACTTTGGGTTTTCATGGATGCTGTAGCTTTTTACAAGAGAAACGTGCAGACCTCTGCATTTGGAGTGAATCCCCTTATGTCATATGTTTCACATTTCTCCTTCCTAGATTTTTTTTGTCTTTGGTATGATTGAAGAGAGCTGTATGAAACCAGGACCTTTTTGTTTGAAAAGTCATCTGCTTCTGATTAGGGCTGTAACATCATGTTCATGGCTGCAGCAGCGGGCGCAACGCCACTGACACAGAGTCGTAGCCCTTAGTGCCAGCGGTGCGTTTGGCTCATCCTTTTGTTTGCAACGCAGCCTTTTCACAATAGCAACTGCTGGGGCGGACGCCGAGGAGCGTCATGGTGTTAGTTGGAAACGAGCAACCAAACACCTCCTCGGGATTGCTGAACTGGTGTCTCTGGGTTTCCAGGACTGCAAGCGAGGGAGGAGGGAAGCAGTCCTCAGCAGGGTCATCTACAAAGATGCTCGGCGTTGCCTTGTGGTGTCATTGGCTCTACATTTTTTTTTGCTTATATTATATTCTTGCTATAACAGTAGAGCCAAAGGGGAGCTGGAATGAATGGGAGCCCAGTTTCGCCAGCCTAACGCACGCGTCTGTGTCCTGAAGCTGGGCCGGCACTGCTGCTAGCCTCCCCCAAGCTCTGCCTGTTTGTTAGCATCTCTCTCTCTCTCTCATTTCTGCAGTTGAACCAAAACCTCCATGATGTCCTGCTGAGTCTAGACAAGCAGTGCTCCAGCAATGCCTTCCCTATCAAAGCTCAGCCAAGGTTAGTAGTCCTTGGAGGGGGGCCTTTCCTCTGCAGGGAACAGGGGGACGGGGAGGTGGGAATGCATCCGTCATGGGTAACAACAAAGTGATTTTTCCCCCTCTTTCATACTGCTGTCACTTAGCATGCAAACATATTTAATGGCTCCGCCATTTATCCCACCAGCCTGAGGCGCAGCGTCGACTCTCGTTTTGGATCGGGTCCCTCACTGGTACAAGCCCACTTCTAGGTCGTGGGTCTCACCCTTGTGAAAGTGCATTGAAGAGTGAAGCTTCCCTGAACCCACGATACAAGAGCCCCTCACCCCGTCTCCCCCCGGTCTGCAACCCCAGGTTACCAGACCCAAATCTCCAGTTTGCAGGCTCTTGTGCACTACACGTGCAAACGCTACGGGGGTGGCTGGAGTCTGACCTTGCTCCCCAAGCTTGTCAGAATCCAGTTATATCCCTGTAGCCTTTGCAGAGGGCTAGCGTCCACAGCAGCTCTCTTTCTCAGCAGTCAACCCTTCGCTGGTTAACTGCAAATCTGCACAGCCTCTAGCTCTTCCAGTCTGGAGGGAGGGAGAGCTCGGGCTCTGGATGAGGCTGTGCCTGGCCCCCGTCCATATGCGTGAGTGATGAAGCAAGGCAGGATGCTGGCTCCCAGCTGCTGCCGGTCCCACGTGCTGGGTGAGCAGTAACGCAGCGCGCATCCAAGTCAGTACATTGATGGATCACAGGGGGAATTTAAGGCGAGGTAAGAGAGATCTTCAGTCTGGGGCACTGACTTAGGAAAGCAGTTGAAAGGTTAGATCATTTGTGGGTGGACTCTTTTTAATCCCCCTCCCAATATAACCCTTTGTGGTAAGCATATGTGTGCACTCGTATGTGCATGCACATACACACACACACACACACACACACACACACACACACACTTCCGGAGGATTTACCAAAGTCACCCACTTTAAAGAGGATCCTGTTAGGTAAAAGTTACCCTCCAATTCTGGATGCACGGGCACAAGTTTCCATCAAGCCTCAGACCAGGAGAAGCTTCCAGTGGAAACCACGATTCCCTCCTTTCACTTCCTAGCCAACAACTTTCCCTATAACATCTGGAGCCCAAGCACTGCGCTAGTGAATGAGAAGCTGAAGCCGGTTATTCTGGCTTCTGCCAAACGATGATCTAACACAATAGGGCCCCAACCAGGCATTTCCTAACACAGGGTAGATAGGACCTTTGCTATGTAGAGAGCGGCTCTTTCATGCGTCTCTGCCCCTCTAAAAAGAGCACCTGTTCCCTGATCCACAGCAGCGATAGTGAGAGGTGCTTCGAGGCAGGAGCTGGCTGAGAAAGGTAGAGTCCGCGATTGTCCACGGAGCCCAATGACATGCAAAACCTCACTTGCCTCCTGGCTTTTTGTGGGGGTTTCTGGCACGCTGGTTTTTTCTAGCTGGTTACAGCAATCAGGCGAGTTCCCTTCACCTGTGGGCACTGGGGTGAAATCCTGGTCCCACTGCCGTCAAGGGGACTTCGGTGAGGCCGTGGTTTCATTCCAGGTGCGTGTCCCCTGTCTCCTGGCAGCCATCCCCGTCATGCCAAGACCCCTGGAAATGGGGTCATACAGCACAGTCATGAATGCAAGAGCTCTGGTGCCTTCAGCAACGTGCCCAGCCCTGGTTTATTGAGGGAGCCAGCCCCTCCTAACTCTGCCCAGGTGAAACTCTCCTGGAGAGTCAGTCCATGGGGGACGGGGAGGAGGAAGAAGCAGGAAGGACGAAAGCTGTGGCCAATTCCCTCCTGCAAAGCTTTGGTCCAGCTGTTCACCGTAGCAACAACTCAGCAGAGGTTTTATTTATCGTCGTTACGGTTTACCATTTCGGGCCAGCTGTGAGGCCCAGCTCCCTCATAAAAAATGCTTCCAAGGCGATCAAATCCTCGTTGTCCCAAACCCAGCTCGCATCAGCTTCCTCTGTAGGGCGTGAGCCCTCCAAACTCTCCCACCTGCAGCTTGGCGCGCTTGGCCTGGCAGGGAGACCACCTGTCCACCTGTAGAAAGGAGAAAACGCCATGCACGTAGGAACTCGCTGCCTTGCCTCATCACCCGTCTCCATGGACCTGTTCCACGTAGGCGCTCTGGAAGAAGCTGGTTTGCATCAGACATCTGACATGTCGAGAGATGTTTCCATCTCTCCTCCCCATCTTGCCTGAATGTGTGAAGTGGGAGATGCCTTTTGCTCCCTGGGGGGCAGGGGTTTGCTGTGCTCTGGCAGGAAACACCCCTTGCCTTTCTCATTGCATATCGGCGCCTGCAATTAGAGCAGATGCTTCCCCTCATTCATGCACGCTGGGAAGGGGGGTGGGTGTGTGGATACAATGAAAGGAAATGGGTCTGGAGGGAAGAAAACAGTCACCCCGCTGCATCCCTGCACTGTCCTTTTGGAAGGGCCACAGAGACGGGTCATCTGTGGGGAGCAGCTCACTCCTGCTTATAGCACCATGTGCTTGGTGGCATGGACAAAGCGGGGAGCTGGTCTTCTGGGCGATGGATGCGGGCACACTTTTCTCAGTGCAGGTATATAGCGGAGAGAGCGGGACTCTAATCCCAGTCGACCACCACCTCGCTGTACAACCACCCATTTGGTTCAGGTGTCGAATGAGGGTTTTTTTTTGCAGTCTGCAAATCGCTGTGCCCTGATGTATTGCAGCGTTCAAGGTAAAGCTCATGCCACATACCTCACAAAAAGCACCCTGTCCAGAGAGCGCGATCCTGCCACCTGTGCCCTAGCGCACAGAGCAGACCCCTTTGTGAACGAAGGGGGTAGAGAAAGGCTGAGCTTTCCATCACCGATTACAAACAGGCGTGGAATTGGCTTTACTTTTCCTCCCCGGGCCATCCAGTAATGGAAATCATTTGTGTGCCATCCTCAACAGAAAGAAAGCTAAGCTGTTCTCGAGGCTGAGGAAAAAGATGAGCAGGTACCAGTGCGGAGAGCGGCGTTTTGAGACGTGTCTGGTTAGAGTGTCCTAACCGCCTGGCGTGTGGTAGCGCGGTGCCTGGAGTGGTTCCTTGCATGATGCCATGTGCTTTTCGTCCCCTTGGAGTTGGTTGCGTCGCCGTGTGTCTGGAGATGCGTGTGAATTAACCACTTGCGTTTCTTGGTTGGACCCTTGCTCCCTTTCCCGACCAAGCAGGCGCATTCAAAACCTTGGGCTCTGTGTGCGTTCAGGTGCAACTAAGGTTAGGAATAGACGTTGCATTTGTCCCAGGACAAGTTGTGCTTGTGTTTGTCCTGGTGCAGAAATGTCCCGGGATTGGCATGTGCATGCATCACCCTTCCAGTCAGGATTTAGCGGGTGGCCGAATGCAGTGCCACGTTTTCTGCCGTTGATTCAGTAATTGGGCCCGAGGACAACCGTTCAGGTGAACTTGGCAGTGTCCCGAGACACATCTCAGCCGGTAGAGTTCAAGCTACCATGTCACCTTGCTCTGTTCTGAGCCCGTCTGGATGTTACAGCCTTTAAAGTACCAGAGTCTTGACTACACCAGGGCAGCGTTAGTGCAATGCTGGAAATACATGAGCGCTGGCATGAAGGGGGAGGTTGCATCGGGACTTGGCTGTTCTGCCCTTGATCCAGTCCTCACCATTAATACTCATGTTATAGTTTGGTTGTGTGTCTGAATGGGTTTGTGCAGCCTCCCATAACATTCTCCTGAGATCAGTGTAATTTAGTGCTGAAGAATGAATAACTTGTGGCTGAAAGCCCCCATTTGAGCCTCCCCCCACCCCAAGCTGAGATTTGGAGTTGTATTTAATGTAGGATTTTGCAGGATGGGGGCTAGGCTACCTTAGCTTGTGGGAAACAAATGGGGGACAGTGGGGTGACACCCTGGCACAGGTGCTGGGAGATGTTAGTGCAATGCACTGTGGCTGGGGGCTGCAGGGGCTTCAAAATCTCATAGGACCGTGAGATCCCTCCCCACCACACTGTTAATCTAATTGCACTAGATCAAGCCCCTAGTTCAGAAAAACGAAGGCAAGTTGCCCCCAAGCTTGGCCATGTTCCCACTGTTGCAGCGGAGGAGAGCAGGAGGAAGGCATGGTGCAGGTGCCCCTCTAAAGCATGACTGAGGAGCCCTTTAGGTGAGCAGGGAAGTCTCCTTTCTCTTCTCAGCTTCCAAACGGGGCACCCACCTACTTCCTCCATCAGCACCGGGGCGCGCGATTCAGAGGCCTGTTTTGTTCAGGGAGGGTCTTGGAAATGCTTCCTGGACCGTGCACGCTACCTCGGGCAGCCTGTGCACCGCAGAGTCCTGCAAGCGGGCTGACTCGGTGGCTGTCGGACAAGATTTAATGTGCATTGCACCTAACGCAGTAAACGCTGGACTAAAAATGCCATCCTGGGTGTTTGGAAAAAGCCCAGGCTCAGTCAAAATTAGCACTGGCATTTTCCTACTGGAGCAGCCAAGGCAGACATGAAAGCTGAAGCTGGCTGTGAATAGCAGTGACCTTGGTAGGAGGCCTGGCAGGAGCTGTGGAGGGAATTGGGGGGGATGTCAAGGAGTGGGAGGTGGGACGTATCGCCTCCAGGCCTGGTAGCAAACTGCAGTCCGAGGCAGCTTGGTGGTCCCCGGAGGGACAGGTGTTTGCACCCCAGCTGGTGGCCACGTCACCGAATCGGTGATTCGCGTCACCTGAATGTCTCTGGTCCCTCTTGGCGCCTGGTTTGGGAGCTGGGCACAGCCCCCGGGCAGTGCAGGCTCTGACTTGCAGTGGGAGCTGGGTAAGGCGAGAAGAGCCGTCTTCAGGCAAACGACCCCCCTTGCACCCACGGGAGCGCTTGTCGTGCCGCGGAGCTGAAACGGGACTTCCTTGCTCTGCTCCTTCCTAGCACAACCTAGGAGAGGAGTTTGTCCCAAGATGTGGGCCAGGTAGACCCATGGTGCTCCGGGGCCAAATGTGTCTCCAGGGATTGTGCTTGTAATAGGAGGAGCAAGGTACAAGAAGGGGTGCGGTGCTGTATGTCTGACCTGTGTTTGCACAGGGATCGTTTCCCTTCCCTTTCTGAACATGGAGCATTACTCATTTATACCCCTCAGGGTCTGGCTTGTAATTTAACCCTCTGCCTGCTTCTCTCTCCAGCATGGAAATATCCAGTATAGCAGCCCAATCGGGCTTTACGGGTATTCCTGGGTTTCCGCATTCGCCCTTGGATGTCTCCTTAGCATTGCTATCCACATCCAAAGGGCTAGGTCAGTGACTTGAACCTTTCTGTCATTTGCGGACCCCTCAAAAATTTCCAGTGGAGGCGCGGACCCCTTGCGAATGGTAAGGGTGGGTATATTCACAGACTTTTGATTGATCATTGCCCTCTTTCACGGACCCCAGGGGACCACGGACCACCCGTCTAGGTGAAGCCCTGAGCGTTTGGGCCCTTTAGAACTGAACTAAGGAAACGTTTCGCCTGTAGCAACGAGGCGCTGCTTAATTAGACCCCTGCAAGCATCCTTGTATCCCCAGGGGTAGGGAATAGCAGTGTCCATTGGATCCCAAATTTCTCCCCGCAGTTCAGGTTTCATACCTGGGTTTCTGAGGCAGTTAGATTAAGCCCTCAGAGTCGCTGGGTCGTCCTGACTGGGGATGCTCTGGCCACATTGCTGGGAAGGAGGTGGGGGACTGGGAGGGGAGGGGAGGGTCTGGAGGGGAAGAGAGCCAGGCCTGTTCCCTTCTCCCTGCCCCCGGGAATGAAGTTCAGAGCGGAGGGGCGGGGAGCGATGCTGTCCTACTTGCTGCTGACAAGGCAGGTTACTAACTGGCTTGCTGCACACCAGTTGCATGGAAGCTGCTGTTCCCTGGTGACTCCCATGTAGAGCCTCTTCCTTCCCACGCCGCCTCGGTTAGCCGCCGGCGTCTCCTCAGGGTGTCCCAGATCCTTTTGCAGACCAGCTCCACAGCAGTCGCTCGTGAGACATCCGAGGAAGACCCAGTCTGGTGAGCAAACCGAGTCCAACAGAAGAGCCAGGGTGCCCTTGACCACCCCGGTGTCTTCCAGTCTCCCCCAAATTCATGCAACCTCCAGGCTGAGAGCAGCTGCTGGGAGGTTTCTTGCATCTTGTTGTCATGCTGCTGCCCCGGCACCGCTGGAAACTTCCGATGTGCATGAGACTGCGGAGACCGACGGCTTCTCGAGAGGCAGCTCTGCGCGCGGGGGTGTGGGGAACGGGAGATCGAGGCTGGAATTGGGCTAGGGTCAGGTGCTTGTCTGAATTCAAATGCCTGTGACCCCTGCTTCAGCCTGGCCCCGAGATGTCCGCTGGCAGGAGAGCCAAAATGCCGGCGTGGGAACACGGAGCGGCAGAGTTCGGACCTCTTTCAAGCGTGTACGAATACAGGGCAGGTTGCATGTATATGAAGAGGAAGAAACTCCTCCAAAGGAGCAAGTCCTGGGTATCATCAGGACCAGCTGATCCACGTTGTGCATCGTGCTGAGGAGGATGTTGCTTTATGGCCTGGGCAGGGGTCTTCGGGGTATATTGTTTTATACCGCAGCAAAGCGGTCGTCCCCCCGCAATCCTGCCCGAGGACAGGGTCTTCATGGTGCCAGATATGAGCGTCATATGAACTGTTGCCTCTTGTATAAGAAGGGCTGGTAACGTTGCCTATTAGTCAGGTTGGCTAGAACTTCTCGTTACAAACCCTTTTAATCAGTTGCTTATCATTTTGGACCACTTCGGCCAAAATTAAAAAAAAAAGAAAAGAAATCAGGCTGAGGCAGACACTGGCCTGGAGAATTTGAGCTCAAATGGAAATGAACCCTTTCCGAGTACGAGGCAAGAAAGCGCGCGTCATTTTGCCCCTGTTAGAAGTCATCACCTGCTCTAGGAGAAGCTCTAACAAGCCATATTCTAGAGATGCGGAGGGCTTGTAATTTGGCAGAGGATTGCCTGTTTGTGCCTTTTAACGTGCTCAATAAAATCTGCTCGTATCTGGCCAAGTTACAAGCGTTTTGCAGGGAGGGGAAAAACATCCAGGTTGCACATCATCATGCTCAGTGGAGTGGAGAGGGAAAAGGGGAATTGGGAGCCAGTGGGTGAAGCAGGGGGGATATCTTTAACCCCTGCTAACATATGCATCCACAGCCTTTCTATTGCTGGAAGATACCCAGTCAATGCTATCAGCTTCTGCAACCGGTGGGTATTAAAGCCCCGTGCAGCGGCTCTGCAGGCCCCCCTGCCAGCAGATGGTCCATGAGGGATCGGTGCCAAAGAAGTCCTGGGCTTTTCAGTTAGTTTTGTGTGTGCAGGTTCCTAGATATTTTTTAGCCATGTTAAAAGAACATTAGTTTGCAACGTCGCGGTGACTGGCAGAGTTTGGGCTGCCTGCATGGCGGCATAGAGATAGGCCTGCCTTAAATGCACCCGCGAGCATACAAACCTGCGCTGTCAACACCAGCCCGGGTGCGTTAGGACAAGGCACTGGGCTGTGAGTGAAGCGTCTAAGCCTCAGCTGATTTTTGGCTTCGCATCTCTGATCCCATGTCTGGGCAGTGAATAGAGAGGGCATTGAAACCGGCTTGTCCGGGTAAATCTGTCTGACCAGCCCCCGGCTCAGACTCTCCTGTCCTTTCTTTCCTCCAGCGACAGTGCCCCTGCAAAAGCAAACAAAAGCCCTTCGCCTCCACCGGACGGGTCCCCGATCACCAGCCCCGAGACCAAGACTGTCAACCACGAGCCGGAGCCGTCCTCCTTGGAGACGCCTGGGGCAGGCATCCCAAAGTCGCCATCTCAGGTAGTATCCTCGGGGGCTAAACTTGGCCCGGCGGTGCGATTCTGCTGCCGTGGGCTCAGTGGTCGCACAAGGCCACCCCTTTCCTAGTCGGGTCTCGTGTCGCTGCCGAGAACGCGGACACGAGAGGCGGTCTGCTTTCCATCCGGTGCAATGGGCCAGACCCCTTCGGAGGCAGGCGCTCTGCTCCTGGTTATATTCTCCATTGTAGGGACAATGCTAAGCGTTCCCTAAAGATGCCTTTTCACTTGAGTAACACGCATACCTCATACAGAAGCACGTACTTCGTGTTGTCTAACCAGGGGTGTAGGGCCTGTCTGAAAGGGTGAGTTATAAGACAAGACATGACATTTGTCACAACGCATAACGAGCCGGGAGAACTCCTCGTCAGAGGATACCACCGCAGTCGATTGTTTCTCAGGGCCAAAGAGGGAGCCAGCGCTGATATGGATGCGGAAACCATTCACAATGACATGAGTTGGGATTTTAAAAATAACAAAGGCAAACCCTTGCGCTTCCACGAGTAAGACATCTCTATTAACCCCGGCCTGTTATGGGGAAACTCGTCCTGTCCACTGAAACGTCCGAGACTGCCCAGTCTTGGAGACAAAATCCAGGACGAGATGCACCATGGGTCTGATCTTATTTAAGTGGAAATGCAACTAAGGGCTTATCTTGAAGTCCCTGCACTTTAATGAACTGCAGCACAATGCTCACATACCGAGCTAATTTAAGCGGATGCTTTTTTATTCATCAGCCCTTTCTTCATGTGTGAATCGCCAAGTGGCAGTCCAGTACCCACGGCCGTACACAGCATCACTGATAGGAGACTTTTTGAGGCGGGGAGCACGCAGAGTACATTCATGTCTGGAGCAAGTCCTGGGATTTTGGTGGTGGTTGCACTGGGGATGAGCATGCCAAACAGAAGGAGAGGAAACATCCAGTCACGTCTAAGCCCAGGTGGATGCAGACTGGGCCTTTCCCAGCCTTTAAGTGAAGCAGCGTGCTCTGGCCACAGTTTGGCTCTGTACCTCAGTCTGCTTTGCACAAAATTTTTGTCCTTGGTAGGAAGTGTGGAGGGCAGGGACTTGTGAAAGGGTCTGTCTGAGAGATGAACGTGCCTGGCAGCACTCTTCATTGCTCATACTCTACTGTCGCTAGGGTTGGAGTTGGTTTCTTTTACTTGCAGTGACCTATTCCCTCTTGCCACCACGTCCATCCGTATGTATAACTGCTGGCCAGAGATTCAGCCACGGTCCCTGGACTGCGTGTGACCTCAGTGGCATCCACCTTGAAGGGGATGTGAAATCTGATGGCTCTGGGCTCGCACGCTTTGGGGAAAGCATAGCTGGAGATAGGGTAGGATGAGAGAGATTTTCAAGCAAAACCAATGCCTTTGGCTGTGGTGAATGCCTTGGCTGGGGGTAGCGAATGGTTGCAGCCCTGAATTATCAATATGATATGTATAAATGGGGAGAGTTGCATTGAGCATGTGCTTGCTGGATGCCAGCATCCAGAAAGTGCTCCTCCTGGGACAGGATGATGGTTGCTCCTCTACGGCCATTGCTGCGGAGCATCTACCCGTGGGGATCGCAGGACCCTGGGTGCACTAGTCGTCAGACGGACTTGGGACATGGTGGCAGAGGGGGGGCCTGTGCCAACCTCAGGAAGTGACTAGTTTCCAGGGCAGGTGGGTTCCCAGCCCTCCATCCTGGGATCGCCCTCCTGCCCAGCTGCTGCGGGTCACTCGGGCAGCATTGACTTCAGCTCGTGCCTGAACTTCAGCGTGGGGCCGGGGGGAGAGAGGGGCTGAGCACGGATGCAGGCTTTACAGCTCATGCTCATTGTGGAGTAACCGCCTCCATGCTCTCTGCTCGCCCCGCAAGCCCACGCTCTACCCGGCCTTCTCTGACTGGGGATCCTCATTCATAGAAAGTGAGGGCTGAAGGGAGCTCAGGAGCTCACATCGAGTCCAACCCCTGCTCCAAGCAGGACCAGCCCCAACTCCATCATCCCAGCCAAGGCTTCGTCTAGCTGGGTTCCCGCTGCCCTTCTTCCAGCTGTTCGCCTCGAAAGTGCGTTGTCTGCAATCTCGAGTCCTGCTGTTGCAAGGTTTGCTCAGCTGCTGTGCAGACCCATCTTGCTGAGGCAGACGTTTTCCACTCCTCCTTCCCTTTCCCTTGAATAGCACGTATTATCCTTCCTCTCGCCACGCTGTGGGCGTTTGCTCGCTCGCTCGCGGGCTGACGTGGGCGGATCAGACCCCGCTAAGCAAGCAGGCTATTGAGGCAGTCCTGGCCGTGACTTCTGCCAGCGGGAGCCAAGACCCAGCCCGAAGTGAAATGTGCAGCTAATGCTGCCACCTGCGGGCACTTATTTTCCATTGCATGCCTAGTCGGAGTCGGTTAACGTGACCTTCTCCGCTGGTGCATCAAGCCTGAGAAGTGGGGCTGGATCTGGGAAGATGGATGGTAATGAAAGGTTTTGCAAGCACCCGGCAGGTGGGAGGACACACAAGTGGGCTCGATCTTCTCCTGTCCCCAGATCTAACCGGGGGTCAAAACCTGGAGCATGTAACCACACAGCACAAAACTACTCGGTCACTTAATACTGAACTGCTTGTAACGCTGTATAAGGGGTGAACGTGGACAGTGTCAGCTTGTACCTGTAGGCAAGTGACTCAGTCTGGGGTGCTGAGTGCCAGGAAAGAAAGCATCAAACACTAGAAATGCTCTGCTTAGCTCCTCGCTCCATCCCAGCAGGCCGATACTAGCAGTAAGACTCCTATGGGAATACTTTGTGCAAAAGGTGTGGGGTAAAAATGGAGACTCATCCCACCCAGGTCTCAACTAGTTGCCGTTCCCATGCACCAGCTGTTTTGCTCCCGATTTTGTTCTTTCTTTTGAAAAGTTGCCTCCTCCCATTCTGGGACTGCAGTGTGCTTCCACCCTGGATAATTAGTCCATGGTGATGACCTGGTCTTCATAAACCGTGAGCCTTCAGGGGCCAGAATTGTGCTCTCGGTTACACCACGGTCTGCCGGGGCTGACGCCGCTGCAGTCAACGGAGCCACGGTGACCGTTTTGTTGCAATGACCGAGTCCGCTGCCGGATCTGCAGGAATGGGTCGGTGCAATTTTAGGCAGCTGAATCCCTTCTCCGGCCATGTGCATTTTGAGCAAGGCTTTATCCCTGTACCCCCAGAGTAGCAGAAACTGGTGATGCAGTTTTGGCTGGAACCAGAAGCCGGGCTGGGGTGGGGTATTTCATTTCCTTGCAGAGTCCTGAGCACTTTCTTTCCATTCATTGTTGGGACACAGCGGTAGGGTTACACGCAGGTAAAGTGCAGTGTGGATGAGCACAACTCACTGGGACAGCTGCTAACAATTTCCGCCAGCCACACAAGTGCCTAGGAGGACAAGAGGGGCAGCCTTCAAAAGGGTCTGCTTTGGTTTGGGATTCACAGCCCCCGGTGTCTGCACCGATTGCTTCACTCTTCCGAGATGACACTTTCCCAGGAGGCTTCTGCAATCGGCATCTGGTTGGGGATAATGCCAGAGAGGCTTTCTGGGCACTTCTGCTTCTAGAGCCACCTGAAAACTGGAAGTGAAAATGCCACTTCTGTTATTACGTACAGCCTCTGCAAGGGTCTCCAGCCAGCTGCGCCTCGGGAGACACGCGTCTGAAATCTGGCTGGCGTCTTGGCCATGGCTGGCAGGATTAGCAGTTTAGAAAGCCGGCGTTGCCAGTTGCTAGCTCAGCAGAGTGCATGCCTATGCAGCATGGGGAGGGGATGCAGCCTAGCGGAGTGAGCACAGGCCTGAGAGCCAGGAACAACCGTGTGCTGATGCTGATATGGCGTACGGCCTTTGTCAGTCTACCTCGGGACCCCCAGTCTGAGGGGAATAACGATGACCCATTTTCCTAGGCGAGAGGGATCCCTGCAACCCAGGGAAATGCCAAACTGGGTTGCATGTCCCTAGTGAGCGTTCCCACAGCGCCTAGCAATGAATCCAGGTCTCTCGCAGTGAAGAAGGTGTTAGCATATGGGATCCACGCAGCTGAAACCCTCAGCCTCGTTCCCTGGATGTATGCGAGGGGAACTCTGATTCCAGCGGTGTCCCTAGTCTTGCACGCTGCTGAAACGGAGAGCAGAATCAGGCCCGCAGTTATCGCTTCCCATGTGGTTTGATGGCTCTGGATGCCGGACCGAGCCCTGTCCATGTTCCTCGCCCAAGGGGCCCCCTCTGATCTCACTTGTGCTGGAGTAAATCCACTGACACCCATAGACTGGAGCAGTGTCCTCGAGATCAGAATCCGGCCTGCTGGCCATCCAGGATCGGCTCTGGGGTCTAGCCCTGCCCCCAGGGGCCTACATCATCCAGGTAGGTATTGGGCCAGGTGGCAAATGCACTGGATTTCTCTCCCAAACTGTGCCAGGTAACCGATCTGTGCCTCCCGGCGGTTTTTCTGGAAGGTTGCACATGTCCTAATTACGTATGCATGCCCAGTTGATGCATATTAATTGTGTTACGCTTCTCCTCTGCAGAGGGAGCCCGGCCCACGGCTGAAGTGTAACTAATGATGCCGAACCTTCTTGGAGGCGTGTGATTGTTTTCCCTCCCTCCCCTCCAGGTTTATTTATTCGACCCTTCCCCATGTCCCTCACCCCTTGGTTTTATTTTGCTAACCTGGTTCCTGTCTCTGGTTTTTCTGGGTGTCGCCATCTGTGCTGTCGCCGTGTGCTCGCTTGCATGCAGTTGAGGAAAGGTCCTCCCGTGCCGCCACCTCCAAAACTCACCCCGTCCAAGGAGATCAAGCAGGAGAACATCATCAGTCTGTTTGATGACAATTTTGTCCCTGAGATAAGTGTGACCACCCCCTCGCAGGTCAGCCGCTACGCCCTGCCTTATCTCCGTCTGTCCGCCTCTCACCCCCTCGCTGCCCCCTTCTCCGTTAGAGGTGTCACGCCAAGAAACCTGGTCAGGAGGGCAGGGCACGGGGGGATGCAGCCCTGAGATTGCAGCACTGGTCTTTTGGTCTTGGCTGGTCCCAGAGTCCTCCTAATTCATCCTCACCAGACGATGATAAAAAAAGCCATTGGATATCCATGAATTAGGGTTATTCCAAGCTAAGGCTTGCTGATCTCCAGAGGCTGAAAGGCTCTGCAGCGCCTTTGCAATCAGCAGGATTTGCATCAAGCAAACGGGCCAAAGAGTGGGTGGGCCAAGTTCCCCAGACACTCCTGGACAGGGTTGCCTCCAGTTTGGATGCCTTCAAGCCCTATTTCTCCTGTCATCCGGGAGCGCGTCACTGATGTTAGTTCAGTGGATTTGCTTCTCGGAGCGGCGAGGACTCGGTATTCTCCTCCGGCTGGCTGCTTTTGCTAGCAAGCAGCTCCATTTAAAAGGGTTAGTTCTCTTCCAGTGTCTCCGGAGCCCTGAAAGTCGGACACAGCCGCGAAGGGACGACGTCCCTCTTCCCTCCCATGTTAATAGTTTGCTGCTGGAGCTAGGAACGGGGTGCAGAGGGAATGATTTAATGTCCAGCCTGTCTGGGTAACCCCTAGGCAGGAAGGAGCCTGACCAGTTTTCTGGCTGCATCATAAGACTCATTTTTCTTTTGTTTAATTGTTTTGAATGATCCCTTTGAACAAGTGACACCTCTAACAAGGCTCGGTGCGACTCGCTTCCCCTTTCTTCCATCTGTAAGTCAGACCAGCGACCTGTGGCTTCCTACCTCCCGCCCGGCTGCGGAGAAAGAGTCCTTCCCATTTCATGCAGATGGCAAGGATTGGAGCAGGTTTATCAAAGGGAGAGCTGACTTAGACTGCAAAGATGCATGTGGCAAAGAAAAAAAGCCTGGATGGTCTTAGATTAGAAGTAGTCTGCAGAGGATAATTGCTTTTTATTTTTAGTTCTAGTAATTGGGTGTAGATATGAGCCTAACGATGGGTATTTATGCCCATAAGCTCATTTTTCCAACTATTTGAGTTGGTCTACTAAAAGAGATCAGTTGTCCCCAAAGGACCGTGTCTGCCAGCTCTGAAGCCACATTTCTAGGCTCATAGCTAACCCTAGAGCAGTACAAACCCAAAGGGATATGAGAAAGTTGTTCCTTTGGTGTCAGGGTTCAAGCTTCACCACCTGGGCTGAGCAGCAGCGGGGAGGGCTGGGTAGTTAGCAGAGACTTGGAAGTTCATGCAGCTCTCCACACAGGCAAGGTCCTTGCTACAAGGAGATTAAAGAAATGCAGTTGTGGCAGGTGTGTTCGTGGAGACAGTGCATGCAAGTGTGAGGACCTTGTTTTATCAGGAGATCCCCAAATTGCTGAGGCGCTTCCAGGAGAAAGGGGGGATTGCAGAACGGTAAGAAATGAGGGGCAGGAGGGAAGAGAAGAGAGCCCATGCAAGACAGAGCTTTGCAGAGCAGGGAAAAGGGAGCACTTAGCCAAGGACGTTGGAGGACACCGGCAGCATCTCGGAGCAGTCGATGGTACCGAACGGTCCTCCGGCTCCAGTTGGATTCACCTCTGGACAGCCAAACGCGTGCTCTGTGTGGGCGTATGCGACCAAGCAAGCCACAGGTCACTGGGCAATGTCTGTCCTCCCCGTGTAGGTTGTAGCATGTGTTTCTAAGCGACCGCCATGTCTGCTCCATCGTTGGTCTCATGTGTTTGTGTGAATGCTTACCTGTAACCAGAGACTCCAGTCCGCATCTGCTCAGTGCACGTGGCCCAGGACGGATCTGCTGCGCCATCCCCCTGGACGTGATCTCTGAGGGATAATCTGGCTTCTCCACTGGAGCACCTGGTGGCTGTTGCTGTTTGGTGCCTTCTCCAAGGCCATATTAGTTTGATACTGGAGTTTGAGTAAGCTAATGAACTGGGGGAGAGAGGCAAAGGGTGCAGATCTGATGCAGGTATACGTGCATATAACTCTTGAACAGCAGGTAAGATGCCGGTGGTATAGCTGGCGCTTTCTATCTTGGTGCACTAAGGGAAGGCGTAAAGTCTGGGATCTGGAAGCTTGTTAAAGACTTTACTGGAGAAACGTTACGGGAATACAGCGGGCTTTAGACGCTGAGGACTTGGGTTCATACTTGTCACTTGGGCTTCAAGGGCTAGAAGTCTGCAGCTCCTTTCCATTTCAGCTGACTAAACTCATTCCTGTGGGTGTTAAACAACACAAAAGAAGGTAAAAAATGGGCAGAAATTACACTGAGGTGGAACATGGTGGGAACATGGATCTTGTGTGCGGTCCTCTTTCCATAGGTCTGTGGATCGCTGTGTTGGTTTTGCCGCGCTGTTAAATGTCGTGGCCTTCTTCACCAGTGAATTCACATCCTAATGTGATGTGAAGCTTGTCTCTAGATAACCTGGTGTGTGTTAGGAAATCCCAGGAGTCGTTTCAGTATTGGACCTTGGTGGAATTGGGGAAGGAAAACGGAGCACAAACCGTGGGTATTCCTGAAAGGGGTTTGAAAAGAGCAGAGCTGAGGAAATCTGCTTGATAGCACGGGCCTTGGGGGACTCTGGGCAGGATTGTTCCTCTAAAGGAAGAGCTAGACAGAAAGGGCGAGGCGCATAATGGTCCTGCAGCACCGGAGAGTGAAATGTCACAGGTCAGTCTGGAAAGTTAATGATTAATTCCCTGGATGCGACTGTGCTGCATTCAAGGCTGTGGGTGAACGCGCTGATAATGCCTCTAGCTAGCGAGTTAATCAGAAATAAAGGGACTCACTTTGCTGGCTGAGAAGGTGGCAGTGACATCTCCTGCATCTGTGCATGTCCTGGAAAATGAGCTGTTGTGTTTCCGTCTGCCCACGCGGAGAGCACGGAAACCTGCGCTGGCCGGACTGGAAATCGGGTGCGTTGATTATCGCCGGTTACAGGCGAATGGTCACGGACGGCACATCCGACCATAGGTGGTATTTGGGATTCGGCAAAGAGGGAAGACAGGTTAGCTGCTGCGGGGATTAGTGCTGAGACCGCCGTCAAGCACGCATTCCCGTGCACGGCTCGAGGCCCTGAAGACGGCTGGTCTAGACTCTGGGAGCGAAGCGATTGCCGTTGCTCGGTCCTGAAGGTGATGGCTTCTGTCGAGGAGGCTGGGAAAGTTAGCCTTGAGTGCAGAGTAGCTGGTACTGATGCAGAGGAGACGCAAAGGATAGTTGGGAGGAGAAAAGGACCTCTTCCAAGCTGGCACTTTGGCCCTAATAGGCCCTGCTATCTTGAGTTGGCCATGCCAGCTGTTAGGACATGTAGGGTGTGTTAGGGTGGAGTTTTTTATGTAAAAGGGTCAGGTTTGTTTGCACGAGTGCCTTGCCCACGCTTGTTGGAGGGAGCAGGCAATACGCCATCTGCAACCCAAGTCTTGGTTATCAGCTGCCACACAGTCTGTCTCCAGCGCTTGTCTAATGCTCACACTGCTTTTCTTCCTTACCGCTGCCAAGTTTGATGCCCCTGGGCCCTTCCAGGAGGGAGCCAGCCTGTTGGATCTGGATTTTGATCCCATTAAACCAGATGCCGGTGTGGGGAAGGCACCCACACCCGTCTCCCAGGTTTGTTCACGTCACCATTCCCTCTTTCTTGCCTGAATGAACTGTTGACAACTGGGGGCAGCCTGTGCCCACCTTGTATAGTCTCACGTTGGCTGAGCTTTCAGAGGCACGCAGCAGGCACGAGTACTTGCCCGCCGGCACATTTGCGTGCTCCGCTGGGCACTCGTGCATCTGAGTCGGGTAATTGTGCCCCTGGCTTTGCACGTGCAGCAATCGGATCTGCACCCTCACGCACGGATGTTCGGGGGAGCACCCCGTGGACCCTCTTCTCGAGATCTGAAAGCTCAGCCAGCACGTGCATCCCTAGCATCTTCCACGTACCATGTGGAGATTGCCCCGGTTGTGTGGGTGGGAATTGCACCCTCGCTGTTACGGTCTGTCCGTAAGTGACCGTCAGTTTAGCGAGCAGCAGGGAGCTTTAGCAATCTGCCGTTGTCTTAGACAGGAAGGACTTTGGAAGGGAAATGGCATCCTTTGGTTCTGGATGCAACCTCCACCTGGGGCTAAGGAGCAACTTCCTTCAACAGCACGTTGTTGCACAAGTCGCTGTTCTGGAGGTGGTACGCTTTCCTGAGGATGGCTGGCCCTGGCCTCTCGTAGAAACAGGAGCCTGGCCTTGACGGACCGTCACGGGGGAGCGGCCTGCAGCTTCCTACCTTCACGAGCATTTGACTCCCAGTTAAGAAATGGGGTCAAGGCTTATTGTGCGGAGAGGGAGGATTGGCAAATATGGGCTGTTCCTAAAGACACAAAATTCACATTCATCCTGCCCTCGGTGTAATGCAAATTTGGCATCAGCCCTGGTTTATACTCTTGCTAAATTGAGTGTTTGAAGCCCTTCTTGGGTTCAGACAGTGCCCTCTGCCTCGGCCTTTTGCTTCCAGTATGAAGGAAAGGGACGTTTTCCCTAATCTCGGCCTGCTCTCTTGGACAGCAGCTGCCAGTATAATCCACAACTGGGATATTTCCAATATTTTGGTGATGCCATCATGTTAATTAGGCCGGTCGTCCGCACAGCTTGTGGGTTGGCAGAGCTCCTTGGCATAAAGGTCACGGTGCAGCTAACCACTCTTCTATAAGAGACTGAGTTTCACGTCTCAAACCATTAAGGAAAATAGAAAGATGCTGAGGTAAGTGCCGTTGAATGCGTATGTCTGCCTCGCGCTGAACGACATTTGTACTGCTGCAATAATTGAGTCTCAACCTGTTTTTTGTTCTTGTTGCCCTTTGACATGCTTAGTCTATCCCCTGGGATTTATGGGAGGTAAGAATCGCCCCCCGTTCTCCACTCGGTGAACTCCTGCCATCTCCCCTGGCATGTGCAGGCGCTGTCCCCCCCGCCCCATCGCTCCCATCACGCCGCGTCTCGAACCCGCTTCCGCCTTCTGCGGTGTGGACCGGCCTCGACGGCAGCCATGCGTTCAGGCCTCGCGCCTGGCGTTCCCAGAAGAGCGCCCCGTCGCCCGTGCCGCGAGCTTTCCCATCATGTCCATGGTGTTTGGCATTGCTGTCCGTGTCCCTAATCCTGCCATTGCTGTATAGCCGCGTCTGCGCCTCTCCATACCCCCACTGGCCTCTTATTCCCTTCCTGCCCTCTCTTGCCTAACGCGATGTACCTGCCTCTCAACTGCCCCTCAGTTTACCCCTGTCTCTGTGTAAATTGGAGGTCATTTGCCAAGCTTGCTTGTAGCAGCAAATCTGCATTTGGAGAGATGGGTGGTAAATTCACCCTCCCTGGGGGCAGCCCGCTCGCACAAGCTGCTGCGCTCCAGGCGGGCAGTGCAAATGCCCCTGCTCACCGTCCCAGAGGGTAGTGCAGGCTAATTAGAGTGACTGCTAATTAGCTAGCCCCCAGGTGAAGGAGCCTGTGCACACCCAGGGCATGTTGAGAAGGCGGCTCCCCCCGCTGATCGCGTTCATCCATGTCATTCCCCATGTTGTGCTCTATCTGTTTTTTCCCTTCTTTTAAACAAAAAAAAAAAATGAAAAAAAGTCATGTCTTTACAGGGCCTTAAAAGCAGAGCCCCTTTGGGTTACTTCGGTCCGTCTCCATGATTGCCCCTTTGAGAGGCATTTGGTCACGTGGCCCAACCTCGGTCTTCGTGAATCAGCCGAATTGTTCCTTCCCCAAAACAGTGCAGGGCTGGTTTGTTAAGTTGTGGTTTCTTTGCTGTTTTGGGGTATTGCTCTTGCATCGTGGGAAGGACTGACGCACGTTCTTCCTCTTTCATGTCCTTGCAGCCGGTGCAACAACAGCGGGGCTTCAGAAGGTGGAAACCCCTCTCCCCCATTTATGTGTAGAGGAGGCTGCTGCAGAAGGAAATGTGTATTCTTGCTACACACTTGAAAATCCACCTAACAATACCTTTGCTTACTTATTAGATGTCTGTGTTGCCCTCCCCCAAAGGGCCCAGGGCTAAGCTGACGGTAGCCACCCCTAAAGACAGTTTTGTCAACCCATCCCTTGATCCTGACCCACCCTGATGCGGGAGGGTCCCAGAGAAAGGGCAGTTTGGAGCCAGCTGTAGTGTTTGGCATCACACAGGAATCGCCAGGGGAAGCATCTCTCTGTCATTTTTGGTTTGCTCATAACTTGGAAAACGGTGGTAGTCAGACATCTCCCCAGAACCTGTGATTCCCACCTGCGTGGGACTTCATCCTACACATCCAAGGTGCAATCTGGTACACTTGCACCTGGGATATGTAAAGCTGCTGACTTAATAAAACAAGGCAGAAAAGCAAGGCTTTCTGATCCAGGAAAAACAAGTGTTTTTCCCCAGCTCCCTACGGATGTGGAGTGGTGTCCAGACACCGGGATGCGCATGTAGCGTGGTGTCCAGACACCGGGATGCTATGCAGTAGGTAAAACAGAGTAAGTGGATGACACCAACATGCTTTTTGCTGAAATCCAGGAGATTCATTGCATTCCACCCCTCACTTATTAAAATGCAGTTTCTGTAAACGAGCTGCCTTGCTCAACGTGGCTTCTTTCCACTTACCCAAATACAAGCACACGTGGCCAAACGCATGTTGGCTGGCATTGAGCCCAGTTCCAAGCTCATTCAATGCAAATAATAAGCAACCTGGGAGTGCATCTAATTAAACAGGAGAGACCTGTGTAGCATTTCATGGGTTTGTGTTGAACGTGGCACTCCCCAGGGCTGCTGTGGGAATCGGCAGCGGGATGGTGGTAGTGTGAGATATTCAGAATATCCGTGGGCCTCGTAAGCCCATGGATATGGTGAGTCTGAGAGATGAGGAGGGAAGTGAAAGGGTACAAAGTGCATGTTAAAGGGCATCAGTGGGGGTAAGCAATGATTGTCGACCTGGGGTATTCATCTCCATGTTACTGCTACTGTTGTTAGCAGACTTCTTGCAGGATCATGTTAGTTTAAGGCTGGCAGCCAGCTGGGCTTGCAGGTGCATTGCTGTTTCGTTGTGGAAAGCCATCTACATTGCAGCTTGGCTTATAAATGAATTCGGAGTGCATCAGGAGAGGGACAGGGCCAGCTTAGTGTCTTGGGTCTGCTTCAGTATGGAGACCGTCTGTGACCTGAGGGGGGGACTTTGCCCTTCCAGACCTGGATGAGGGAGTCTGTGGATGCATCTCAACCCTGGTCCAGCTCTGTCCCCTTCCCTTGTTGGTGGAGACTTCTGCCACGTGCTTTACTCGGTGTATACTTTGAATTCATTACCCATCTAGGTAGGACTGAGGATGGGCTTAGGGCTGGTAACAATATAGGAGGTCTTGCAAGGAAGCAAAACGCAACCATGCCTTGCTTCCACCTAGAAGAGTAGTGAATGAAGTGGGATGCTGTGGGAGAAGCTAGCTGGCTTGGCCATAAGTTCATTAGCCCTCTTTTCGTTTATGGTGGACTCGCGTTGGAAGTGGTGTAGGCTTGCCCTCAGTGTGCAGCGCTGGTAGTTTCTGCTGAAGAAAGGTGCGTGGCTGTGACGATGGACAGCGCTTGCATTTGCTGAGCTGTGACGTCCCGGGACTGGAACAGGGGAGCGTGGTGCGGCAGGAGGGTGCTGCGGCCTAGGTGGAACAGGGGAGCGTGGTGCGGCAGGAGGGGGCTGCGGCCTCTGAGCAAGGTGCATTGATGAGGATAAGGAAAGGGACCATCTTGAAGTTAGTGCCTGCTGGAAGTCGCTGGTTTTCATGAGGACCGACCGGATGTAGTCCCTGCAGACTAAATCCATTTGTTTCAAAGCCATGAGGAGGTTCCTTGTAACAGATGCATCCTGGCTATTTGCGGACCCCAAGGAGACAGCCCGTGTGTTCCTCACATCTGCTTTTGAATGCAGCTGCTTCTCATGTTCACCACCACATGAACATAAAAATACCCCAAACTGCTCTCCTGCGCAGTCAGATGTCCTCTCTCCCCGCCCCAGGCTCACCATCGTTGCCCTAAACTGCCTGAAAGTAATGTCTCTAAACCAACCCAACACTTGGTGTGCTTGATTTTATTTTATTTTTTTTTCCAAGTAATGGCACTGATTACCATGACATGCTCACGCATTTGCAGATGAATTGCAGATGTCCTCCTAGAATATCTGTACCTCTGTGTGTGTCTTATTTTTCTACTCTTTTTCCCTCCCCATTTACCCCACACCTCTCATTTTTATCTTCTCACGTTCCCATCCGCTGCCATCTTCCTCCTTCCCCTTCCCTCTTTCCCAATTCCACCCGCCAGCCTGAAAAGACTTCCTCTAGCAGCATGCAGTCTGTGGATCAGTGCGATAGCGCCTTTGCTGTGGACTGGCCCAGCCAGCCCACGGAGACCGAGCCTGCCCAAGTAAGTGCAATTCGAGTCCCAGTCTATCCCGAATGCAATGTTCACCAGAGTCGAGGGCACTGGAAGCCCGACGGGTCTTGAACCGCCTGCCTTCCTTTAAATGCTAAATGGCATTTAGGGAGAGCCTGGTGGCTGCAAAACCAGCCCCTGCCAGGGCCCTGATCCCGTGGTGGCCCTTCAGGACCTCACCCTGTTTCCTGAAGCCCCTGCAAGGGTCTGTCTACACGGAGCACAGGCAGGATCGGGGCCTGAGAGACTCGACACCGCTCGGCCTTCTGGACAGCGATGCGTGTTTCTCCGCCGTGTTATGAAAATGCCTGTGTTGTTTAGTAGGGGTTATATACACTCGTCTGTATAGAGACTATACAGATGCAGCGTGCCAGTCAATAAACCTAGGAAACGCGTGTGAATATTCATAGACACGTACTCTGTTCATATGGCTATGTGAGATGTTGTGTACAGGTGGTGCAGACGTATGTACACACATCCTGCCTTGCCTGCTGTGTGCTGTCCGTAGTGACCGTCTGCTGAAGGTGTTTTCCCGGTGACTGTCCTGTTCGCATGCTCCTGGGTCGTGGCACTCGAGATCCTTCTTCATCCGCGGCGGTTTCTTGTATTAAGAGGCCTCGCCTTGACGTAGACCCGAGCTGCACGCCGTGAAGCACGGCTGAGCGGGTCTCTGCTCTCACGATGTCTCTCTTTCTCTCTCTCCCTAGCAGCACGGCGGGCCAGACAGTGGCCTGATGGTTGTGGTTTTTAAGGGGCGAGGGGTGTGGAGGTGGAGAGTCGAGAAACGCTGTCTGGGAGGTTTCTAGTTCCGCAGGACCTGGTGTGGTTTTGGTGGGTTGCAATGAGCGCTTGTCAGGTTTCAAAGTGGCATTTTTTTTAGTGCACGAACCAGTCGTAGCAATCCTTGGGAACTGCTGTTAGTAGATGATGCCCTTTGGAAAAAAACTCCTTTCAGAAATTACAACCCAAGCAAACCTCCTTCCTTGGCCCAGCTGCAAACCAAATAGGCTCTTGTTTAATCAGAGGCTTCCCTGGTAGTTTTTCTCTATCTGGAAGATTAAACAGGAGTCTCATTCCTCCTGGGCCAGCCAGGAGCTGGTGTAAATCAACCGCAGTCTGAGGAAGGCATGGTAGCTGTGTCAGTCTAGCTGAGCCCCTGGCCCAGTGCTCCCTTGGGCCCTGAGCTTTTATAATGTCTTAGCAATCTGTGGCTCTCGTACAATCAACCAAATTTTGCCAAAGGCTTCAGTTTGCTCCCATGGACTTCCCCAGGGTGTCTGCCTGGGAGCAGAGGGAAGGTGAGCGGGGATTTATCTCGGCGCGACCTGGAACAGGGAGATCCAGGAAAAGGAGGAGCAGGAGTCGAGGTGCCTGACTGTGATTTCTGTCTGAGAGGGTAGTTGGTGTCACCGGGGCAGCTTTTCTTGCAGCTCCTGACATGCCCATGCACATGCACATGCAAAGGTGTGTGCACGCACTCCTGCTCCCTCTGCTCGCTAACTCTCTGCCCCGGGGGCGGCTCTTGTGTTGCAGCCTGCAGACGCCGCTTCCGGCGGATCCGAAGCAGCTGGGACAGCAGCAGCGGCAGCTGGAGCCGAAGCACCTAAAACCGAAGCTGACTCAGGATCTGGCTCTGTAAGAACCCGGGTGGGGGCAGGTCCCCTCCCCCAGGCCCCCTTTCCTGGGCAAAGTGATCAGGTCTGGACCTGCTGCATGCCAACGGTGTCCGTGGTGGTCCCCGTCCCCGAAGGCGTTACGCAGGTTTGCCCTGTGCTTGCTTTGCACGCTCAAGCCAAGACTTTGATGATCCCCAGGGAGTCCTAGAGAAGCAGGGCTGGAAGGGTCCTCCGGACGTCTTCTTGTCCTACCCCCATCTTGGTGAGAAGATCCAGACCAGGAAACATCCTGCTCCTTTGACCCTCTCCCTGTGGAAGTCATATTCAGCTTAATTTAGGGTTGAATGCTGCCCCTCCACCAGACTCCTGCTCTGACACTGATTTCCTTTATGGCCTTGAGAAAGCCTCTTAACTTCTGCCTCAACTTGGGCACCGTGCGACTTGCCCAGGGCTGCTGCAGTGATTGCCGGGCAGGTGGGGAGTATTGCTCCCCCCAGAAAATACATCACCTGGCTGAATGCATCAGCCGTGTCGCCCGGAAGAAGTCAGGACCTTCTCCCTTCCTCAGACTAGAGACAGTCGCTGCCCCCAGAATAACCGCTCATTGCAAACCCTTGGTTTCTGCCCGTTTCTCTGCTTTTCCCTTTTATTCCAGTGCGGTGAGTTATGGCTATCAGCTGCCTTTGACTCGCAGCCTGGGCAACCCCGCTGCCAATCTGTAGCACGCTGCCAGGGGCTGGTTGAACCTACAGTGGGTGCCCAGGGCAGGGATAAATGCTTGTAAACATGTGTTTGTTCCTTTCTCAATGTGGCTTTGCTCCCTGCAGGGCTCTCTGCCTGCTGTAGTTGTGGAAACTTTCCCAGCCACTGTCAACGGGACCGTGGAAAGCAGCGGTGCCTCCGAAAGGGCCGACATGCCACCGGGCTTCCTTTTCAAGGTGAGCACTTGTCTGTGGAGGTAGCGGGGTGGCCAGGAGGGCGAAGCAGAGGCTGCTCTTGGCGAGGCCACGACGCTGAGCACGTGCCCCAGGGCGCATCGCAGGAGGCGTTCGTGCTGCGGTATTCACGGCCATGCAGCAGCCGTGTTGCAGCTTGCAGGCGGAGGCTGAGGGGAAGGAGAAACCACCAATATTGTAGGCAGCCCTAGGAACTGGATTGCAGCTAGTCCAGGAACGGTCCATGTCTAGGGCTTCAGCAGGAAGGGCCCCACTTACATACGGCCCTGGAGGGATAAAAAGAGAATACAGTGAAGTACAGCACCTGCTCTCTGCTGTCGCTGCTCCAATATCTCCTGTACTTTCTGTAGTAGCTCCTGTCAGCCTGACGGGGCCCGTACTGCCATAGGAGAATGAGCTTAATGGCATCCAGGGCTGCATCGGTAGGAGCGCTGACAGCAGATGGAGGGCAGTGAGTCTTCCCCTCTATTCGGCACGGGGGAGGCCACATCTGGAGTGCTGTGTCCAGCTGTGGGCCCCCCCACTGCAGAAAGGATGTGGGCACATTGGAGAAAGTCCAGTGGAGGGCAGTGAAAATGGTTGTGGGGCTGGGGGACAGGACTGGTGAGGAGAGGCTGCAGAAACTGGGCTGATTTAGTCTGGAGAAGGGAAGACTGAGGGGGATTTGATAGCAGCCTTCACCTCCCTGCAGGGGGGCTGCAAAGAGGATGGAGCTGGGCTGGTCTCAGTGGGGGCAGGTGACAGGACAAGGAGCAATGGGCTCCAGCTGCAGCAAGGAAAGTTGAGGTTTGATTTAAGGAAGAATTTTCTCACCAGGAGGGTGGTGAAGCACTGGGACAGGTTATCCAGAGCAGTGGTGCAGTCTCCATCCTTGGAGGTGTTTAAGACCCGGGTAGACAAAGCTTTGGCTGGGATGATGGAGTTGGGGCTGGTCCTGCTTGGAGCAGGGGGTTGGACTAGACGTGACCTCCTGAGGTCCCTTCCACCTGAATTTTCTGCGAGTCTGAGCTGGATTCTCTTCTTCCTCCTGCATTAGCAATGGTCATGGTTGGCTACGGTTTCTGCCAGCTTCACACGCTGGATAGGACACACGACCCAGAACCTGTCTTTGCTCTTAGCAAAGCTAAACTCTTCAAGGCAACATGCGGATGATTTTGGCAAGTGACGGTGAACGAGGAAGCAGTGGGGACACTAAGAAGGTTGGGAAGCCATGGGACCTAGAGAGATTAGAAACCAGGGCAGCAAAAAGCAAAAGCCCTCTGGGGAGAAATAATGCAAACTGTGGAGAACAGCAGTGGCGTTCTCTACCCAGCTAGGAAGAGGGAGGAAGGAAGTGGGTGCTGTGGGAGAGACTGTGGTTGGGAGAGGACCGTAGATCTGATGTGTGGAAACCAGCAGCCAGACCGTGAAGATCTTTCTGCACAGATGTAGCATGTTGAAGATCAAGGCTGCCTTTGAAGCTGAGCATTGGCCCTTGCATTTCCTGTTCGTTAGATCAAATGGGTGGAGAGCAGTGCCAGGGGGAAGTTTGAGAGCAAGGAGTGTGGTGGGACCCCGGGCTTGTTCCCGTCACACAGGTGCACACCCTCCAGCTTGTTTGTGGTCTTCCTCCTGGCCTTAGATATCTCCTCTTCTTGGCTGCACGGGAGGCCAGCTTCAAAAGGAGGGCAGGTGCATGGGTACAGAGCCATGTACCTGTCTGGTGAATATGCAGCCTCTTGCACGTGCTCCATGCCTGCGTGGACACTTGGATAGCCACACTACATGTGAAGCAGGATCACAAGCTGCGTGCAAGTGTCGCGGCCAGCTGTTAGGGTTTGCAGAGTGAAGTGGGATTGCGCCCTAACTCCTGAAAACCGAGCCTCGTGTTCAGGCTCGCTCTCTTGGGTGTGCTGATTGGTGTGTGCTCAGCACCGCTCTGCAGGGTCTGCTTTGCCTTATCTCCAGGAACTTCTTGGTGATGGGCCTATGCATGGCTTGGAGACCATAGAGGAAGGGACCTCAGGAGGCTGTCTAGTCCAACCCCCAGCTCAGAGTGGGGTCACCCCTACATAAGCCATGCCAGAGTGCAGCCGCCTCGCTGTCTGATTCAGATGGCACCTATTGCTCTTGGTCACTGAGCAGAAGAGTACGCAGGTGTATGCAAAAGAGAAAGTTTTGCCTTGCAGCGAGCCCGCTGATTCAGCAGGTGCCCACCGGACAGGGCTGCCGGCTTGGTGCACCCCGCTTGGTGAAGCACAGCACCCCTGTGCTCAGCGGGGTGCTCCACCTGACACCTGGCCGTGTTTCCTGGAATGGGTGAATCTCATTTCCCCCTGATTTAGTGAATGTCTTGAGAAACACAGTGTAGCCCATTGGAAAGCCAGGACTTGGGAGAATAAGGCAGTCTCTGGCTTGCAAAAAGCAGAGCTGGATTTTGCACTCCTCAGAGGGCAGATCGGGGGGCTGGAGACGGTGCCATAACAGGACCCTGCTGGGAGGAGAGGAGCATGGTGCAGATGGCACGTGCCTCCGAGTTGGAAGGTCTTTGGTACGTGGGTTTGGTTCAGACACAGCTTGGGGTAAAGTGCCAGTGCCCTGAGCTAGCATGGGAACTGCAGGGCAGTGTGTGCGCCCTAGACGGGCGCCGGCAAGCTCCACAAACCCTCAGCCTCTGTGTGATTTGGGAGCAAGAACAGCTGCTCAGAGGCTTGGATGCGTGTGGCCCAGTTCACACTCATGCCTCACCTGGAGAGCTCAGCTGGACACCCGAGTCCAGAGACCAAAGCCTGCTTGCTGCTGAGCTGCTGAGTTGAGGCACCTCCTTCCAGGGGAAGCAGAACAGCTTGCAGGTGAAGATCTCCAAGAGGGATAGACAGGAGAGGGGGCCAGCCCTTTGGATGCAGCCAGCCAGAACGAACTGGAACCGTAGGGGTTTAGGGGTTCAATGGGATTTCGTCAGGTCTCGGAGACCCAGGCAGATGCTGGCACCTCCTGCTCACCAGAACCGCCGTCTCTCCGCAGGTCCAGGCCATGCACGACTACACGGCCACGGACAGCGACGAGCTGCAGTTGAAGGCAGGCGACGTCGTGCTAGTGATTCCCTTTGAGAACCCCGAGGAGCAGGTGAGGGGCGAGCGGGCCAGGGCGGGCACCCGCTGCTTCTGCTTCCCCCTCTGCAGCCCCGCGGGCTGGGGAGCCGTGCTGTCTCGAGCTGTTTCGTGACGGTGGGAGGGGGCCCGGCATGCATGCAGAAGGCGGAGGGGTGAGCCTAGCTAATGACGTGGAAAGTGGGGTGCAGGGTGGGGACCTCAACAAGAAGATCCCTTTCTTCCTCCCTCCAACGGCCTTTGCGCATCCAGGGTTTCCTCCCCCTGGCAGAGCCGCAGGAACCGATTGGTACAGGTCCTTGCACAGCCAGCAAGGAGGCACAACTGATTGCAAGATCGACCCTCCTCTCCCCTTAATTTTGAATCCCATCCACTGTCCCCAGCTTTTGATGTAGCAGGGCACAGGCTGCAGTTTTGGATCCACTGGCAAATCCTCCTGTATGTGGACGTGACGCTGTCAGTCGCGCTGTGCCCTGGCTACATCCTGTCCCGCCGGACGGCAGCCTTATGCGGGGACGCTCTAATGCAGCTGGCCAGCAGGCGGCAATGTCCTCCCAGGCTACACCGAGATGCTCCGTGTCACGCACAGCCTCAGATGAGAGGTTTCTGACTCTCCGCTGCAACCCCCAGCTGCGCCGGCTGTTTATTATGAACCGTCCGTAAAAGCTTCGGCTGAAACTTCCTCAGCTTGCCGAGGCTTGGGGCTCGCTGCTAATGCAACCAGCCAGCTTGCATTTTCTAGGCGAGTCCCTGAATTGCAAGGTTTTGTCCCAGATTTAGAGAATTGCTGCCAAGTGGATGAAACCTTCCCTCCCCCTCCCCCCTGCGTGCTCCCGCCAGATTGCGTGGTGCGGCGTCTGCTTGCGAGACAGCACAGATGTGCCCTGGCGACGCAGTGTGAGCACAGGCTTGCAGACTCCCCGGCTACGCCGATCTGCCTGCTTCTTGCCCCACTGCACGCAGCTGGCTGCACTGCGCTACTTGTGGTTCCCGGGGTCTGTGGGGGGTCTCGGCATGTGGAGTGTCTGGAGAGGTTGGTGGCTTCGGACAGTGCAGAAGGGAAGCAGTTTCGTCGAGACTCCTCCTTCCTGGCCTGCATGATGCTCTAAAGGCCCTTAGGTTTGAGTCACCTCCGGGGAGGACTGATAAACCTGGTCCCTCGGATACTGTTTCCTGGGAGGCCGCGTAGCTCAGTAGTCAGGACCCATCAGCTCCGCTACTGACTTCTCGGGTCTCGTTAAGCAAGTCACTTCTCCATCCGTAAAAGGGAGAGCTAGTGCTGATGCATCTCTGTGTAAAGCGCTCAGACCTACTGCTAGTTGCTCGCTGCAATTCGAGATGGTCTTGGGAGGGACTGGGTGAGTTGTGGGTGGAACAGGCCACATTGCCCTCTGGATGGGACCGACCTGGTTGAGCATGTGTGATCGTTTAGTAGCTTCCCAAGTATAAGCCCTGGCTCTGTGGAAAGCCACGGGAGAGCTTTGCCTAGCATAAGCGGTAGGAGGTGGTGTGTGCAGAGCAGAGGTTCTCAATGATCTATGTGTGCACTTTAGCTGGATGCAGCTGTCAGAGCTAAGAAGTCACGACTGGTCCGGCTGCACAAGGTGATGCTCTGAGTGTTTCTAACCTGGCAGTGCAGCAGCATCGAGCCCTCTAACTCTAACTCTGCCGTCCACGTGGAATGTGCCCCCTGCTCCAGCTCCCCCCTTGTCCCTGCCTGGCAGCCCCCCAGGCGAGCAGCCGTGGCCTTTCAACCGTGCATCTCTGACGTGGGCCATGCATGCGAGAAAGGAAGCTTGGACTAACAGGCAGCCTGTCTAACTTGGTACAAACGCCTGCAGTCTCGGGGTCCTGACCAGTTGCAGGGGCTTGACCAGCAGCTCAGATGTCAGAGCAGGAGTGCGACAGACTTTCCTGTCCCTTGGACTTGGCGGTGCGTAGGACTAGGGTCATCCCACATCATCAGCTGCTTGGGGTGGATGGGAGACCTGCATGTCGCGCTTCTTCGTAACACGTGCAGGCTGCAGAAGGCTGATCCCTAGCATTTGGCTCCCTGCAAGCCGGACGCTGCGGTAAAGACCCCTGGGCTTCTTGCCTTTCACCCAGCCCTTCGTCTTGCTGTGCTGTGGCATACTGATGGCCATGGATTTTATGGCACCCCCCTTGCCTTTGCTTGGCTGCTCCGTTTGAGTTGCGTACACGTGTGAGTATTGTGTGCTGTCTCCTGCGATGGCTTCAAAATGCACAAGTCCGAGGCGTCTTTGGAGCAGGGACCCCAAGCCATAGGAGGCCCCCAAGGCTGCCCGGGGCCCTTGCATGTCGGTAGCTGAAGGGAAGCCTAACGGCAGCATCAGACTAGGCAGAAAGCAGCACAGTCCACGCAGCTGCCTGCCCAAGATGACTCCCGTTGCCACGAGATGTTGTGGAGGCTGATCATTTAACCAAAGAGGGTTGGACAGATGCACCGAGGATGGGTCCCTCCGTCGGTATTAAACACGGTAGCGAGAGCTGCAACTTCTCCGTTAGGCCTGTGAATACTGGAAGCTGCAGAGGGCGAGAGAAGTCTGGATAAGCCTTGTATAAACCCCCCTCCCTTAGCATCCTCCCCCTGCCAGACGCAGAGAGAGGATCTGTGAGGTGCAGGTCTCCGGGCTGGACAGACCTGTGGCTTGACCCAGTCTGGCATCTCCTCTGCGTGCTTATGAGCAGCAGTGCAGGCTCCTCACCTCTCCTCCTCCCTGTTCCTCGTGCACGCCCAAAGCCTCCTCTGGCATTTCTGCAGTGGGAAAAACACAGGAGAGGATGTTTGTGAGGGCCCCGAGTCTTCTCCACTGGTGATGCGTGAGCACGGCTCCATAGGGTCCAGCCTGAGCTCCTAATCTGTCCCCGTGCATAGTGCAAGCCTAACACGTCACCCCACATCTCTCACGCCAAGCCCAGCCACTCGTGGTTGACTTGGAGCAGGGGTTGGCAATGTGTTTGGGCAGATGCCAAAAACACCCCCAACCTTGACTTGGAAGATGTTGGCGTGCCGGGGGCGGACGGTGGTGGGGCTGCAAGGGGCCTGATCCTTGTGGCAGCACAGCCCCGGCCCCTTCCCCATCATCTGCCCCAAGGTGCATGTGACAAGCAAAATGCCCTCGTGTGCCACGCTTCGGCACCTGTGCCGCGGGCTGCCTGCCCCTGACCTAGAGGCTCCTGAGGAGCGCATCAGCTGTGGTTGTGATCTCGGACTTCCAGGGTTTCTTGTGTTTGACACGGAGCAGACGTGGGAGCGGGCTCCGGGCCTGTGAAAGGCATCATCACTGTTGCCTCGAGCATTGTCCCTGTTACGTGCCCCCTCCAGGCTTGGTGGGAGGTTTCCCGTGGACTCTGGAGGGCACCGGCTGGGGAAGAAGGACCGGGAGCTCCTTTTGCTTCCCTGGCTGGAGTCCGATGAGGCTCCGTCCGTGCGTCGAGCTGGACGTCTCCCGACCTGGCCCCGTACCTGATGCCTTTTTCTTTCCCTGCCAGGATGAAGGATGGCTGATGGGGGTGAAAGAAGCTGATTGGCTCCAGCATAAGGAACTTGACCAATGCCGGGGGGTTTTCCCGGAGAACTTCACGGAGCGCGTGCAGTGAGAGCCCGGGTACCAGCTGGTTCTTCTGCAGGAAGAAAGCAAGTTTTCTGGGACATGGTTTAGGAGGAAAAAAAAAAAAAAAAAAGAGAGAATTTTTAAAGGAACATAAACCTAAGAAGTGTCAACTTAATGGGTGGGTTCTTCTCAAAGGGCAAGGTTTTAGAAGTAAAATTGAATTCAAAGTGTTATTCAAATATATACATATTAATAATAATAATAATAATAATAAGGCAAGACAAATACCCCTTCCCCCCTTTGATTTAACAGCATTTGAATTCAGAGGGCTGATTCAGAAGTGACGCAGTGTGGTTCCAGTATGTACTGTGTTGGCTGGATTTGGGGGATGTCGGTTGGGTACCTGGGAAAGGCGACTGTCCCGGAGACGGGAAGCGCCGATGACTCCCGGGTGGGTGGGTTCAGCTGGCTTGTGCTTGTGGCTGCTGGCATGGCATCCGCATCCCTGACGATTCAGACTCCCCATATGTTAGGACCTTTGGTAGGCCAAACATCCCGTTATGCTGTTGAAAAGACATATTTAGTGTACAGTGTTCACCAATATGATGTGTGTGCGTGTGTGCGTGTGTGTGTTTTATTTGCTTCCTTTGAAAACGTAACACGAACTGTGATTTTATACATTTAAAGAACAAACCACCAATGTTACCTGGGAGAGCGACACTCGGGAGGCAGTGCTCGATCCCAAACTCCCCAAGACGCGGGAGGTGGAGCATCGCAGCGATCGTTGCCTTCCTGTGAAATGTTACTTCAGGCAGATCCTGGAAATTAAGACATTAAAAAAAGCTGAAACTCTGGATTGGTTGGCACAAGTTGTGAAATGGAAAAGAAAAAGAAACCCGAAGTAGATTCGTATCTATACGGAGAGAGAGAGTGGTGGTCCCTGAGGCTTGCGGTTTAGCAAGTGCACTTTTAAGGGCAGGGGTGGGAACAGGAAAGTTTACAAAAGTGTAGCTGAGAAAACCAATCTGCTCTCTGTGTTTCTGATTGTGGGATGCTTATTTTTGGCTTTGAAGAAGCCTGTTAGACCTGCCTCCTCCACTGCTGTGCTGGGGAATAAGTCAAAGACAGAGAAAAGCAAGCTATTTTAATCTTTATGTAAGAGCTGCATGACTTTATCCTATCCCCGTGAGTTAGAAAAGGAGGGGATAACAACACGCCATGTTCTAGTACTGACAGTAATCTTCCCCACCATTTTTAGCTCCCGGTTAGTTTTCTGGACTTGGTTTTCTTTTAAGCAACCAGGCTGCACGGCGTTTACAAGGGGCGCATCGTGCTTGGCAAAATCAACAGGTTCGATCCTCCGAGACCCGCACATCCCACAACGGTACTTTAAATTTATACTTGAACACGGATGCCGCTGGGCAAGCAGATCAGATCTTTTGTTAGGTCGTTCCCTTCTGCCCCGACTCCTTTTTTTTTTTCCTTTAAAGGGACCCTTAGGGGTGAGGCTACCTCTTGCTCTCCTGGGACAAGATCACTGTATGAAATGACCCTTCTATTTAATACCTGCTGGCATTACCTGAGCACGCCCAGGATGCTGGCCCAGTGACACTACTGACCCCCCCCCTTCTCCGACGCGCTCGGATTTGCTTGTAGGATAACAGGAAAACCATCTTTCTATTATAGGTCAAAAGTGGACTTTTCTTCTCTTCAAGGGTCAGATTTTGATCTCGGTTACACTCCTGTGCGTTAAGGAGTGCTGGCGTCGTATCTCTTTTAAGTATTATAGCTAAGTCCAGTGGGCCGATTTCTGAATCCTGCATCGGCGTAAGCGAGATCAGACTTGGACCCTTGGCCCCGGCTCCTTTCCAGATTCTCTTTGTTTGCTTGTTTGTGTTTTGGGGGGGAAAAACACTTGCTGCAATGGATAGTCCTTTCTTCTTTCCCCTCTGCCGCACGCCCATATAAAAACTACAGCGTTTTAGAGCACACGCTCACAACACCGCAGCCCTGGACGCAGCGGGTGATGGTGCTGTGAGCCGCTGCTATAGCATATTCTCCTATTTTTTTAAATCAAGGTCGTCTTGATCATCCCACCGTCCTTTCAAAGCTCTATTTTTATGCATTTATATGAACCCAGTTACTCCTTCAAAGAATAATGTTAGAAAAAAGTTATAAATTTATATAGAAATATATATAGATAGATATATAAAAATATAACATAGTGGGTTTATCCAGTTTACCATCAAACTCTTGGCTTAAATATGTTTATTTTTATGCAAAACCAGTGAATTATTCTATCTTCTTTTTTTTTTTTTAAATATGACAAGATTATAAGACCCAGATCTCCAGTTTGTTTCTCAAGTATTCGTTTTCGTGGTGAGGAGCACCATAAGAAGCTGTGCCGACTTCTAATTTATTGTGGATTTCTTTTTTGTCTTCTGTTTTAAAAACCAGCATGTCACAAGAAAAACCCTTTCTTAGGACTTTTCATTGTATGGAGCTTGCAAAGCATCTATCCAGTACTGTATTGTCCCTCGCAGAAGTGGCACTGAGCATCTGCATGGTGGGGATGTAGCTTTCAGGTGTATTTAAACGCGCCCAGGCACTGCTAGAGGGTAAAGGGGAAGTATTGCTCCAGAATAAAATGGCTCGGAGTAGAACGCACGTTCCAGCCGCACAACGTGCATCCCGTAAGTCCAGGTCCTGCATTACTCAGTGGGACCGTAGGGTAGCTGAGGAGTGCAGGATTGGACCCAGGTTTTTCATAGGAGCTGCAGCTTAGTAAGAGGCCGCTGGATATTGCATGTAGTGTAGTGTAGCAAACTGGCCTGGCTTCCACGAGCCCGGTTGAAGCCCTGGTGTAGCTCACCAGAGAGCTCCATTGATTTCACCGCTGTTACACCTGCTTTGCCCCATGGCTGTATTTGATCCTCCCCAGTGTGATGAGCCCCCAGTCTGTGCTGTGCTGGTTTAGTACGACCTGAGACAGCAAACTCCCAAGCAGAGCTGGCCGCGTCGATGCTTGCTCAGTTCGCTGGCTGAACTGAAAGGTAAGGAACAGTCGGCTTACCCAGCAGCGTAGCTCGGAGTCGAGCCGTTCAGCCCCAAACAAAACACCGCGGCGTGTTCTTGGGGGGAGCGTTTTCACTTTTGGGAGTCGTTTTCCGCACGTTTGGTTTTGAAGCTTGTTTTGAAAAAGCTAAAACGTTGCTTTAAAAAAAAAAAAAAAAAAAAAAGGAACATTTTGCAAAAAGTCACAATGCTTCAGTGTTATTCAGCATGGCCAGTAGTCTTGATCCTCCCCCAAACTGCGTTCTGTGAATGACCGATTCATCTGAAAAAGGTCACCCAGTTAGTCCCCGCCCTGCTAGCTGCCACAGCAGGCGCATTTCTGGTCTGAGGGCTCCAGGTAATCTACATTTTCGCTGGCTGAGAAGTTGCTGTTGGAGAGTTTCACTGGGTGAATATAAGAGTGTTTCTCATCCCTCATCCCCAAATGGTGTGGTAGGCAGTATAAGGAAGGACCTCTTGCTCTTCTACTTTTATCCTAGCTCTGTGCTCCCCTGGAATTGCCTCGCAGTGTCCCAGAGGGCAAAGATCACACGTTTCTATGATAATGAAGGAGGCAAACATTGTTCGCCTTCCTTCTGCTTCCAGCTTCCTTGATAATACCAGCAGTATGAGTTTATTATGTGGAGGTCGAGGTTACAGGCCAGGATGTCACTTGGAGGATGTGTGGCTCCCACCTTGTCAGGTTCACCCTGGGGTGGCTTCTCTCACCTGCCTGCTAACGATGGCGGGTGCATTTCTTGGCTAGGAGGACCATTGAGCTATTCCAAGCACTCCATGCTAGTCATCCCTTGTATCCAAAGGCCGTTTGTACACGCCATTTTTTTGCCCTTTCTTGTGCTGCAGCAGCATGACTGTTTGCATGACCGGGTTTTCCGGACGCTTTTGAAGTCTTTCTAGTGCATTAAAGTAAAACTTCTTGGGCACAGTTTAGTTTGGCTCGCTGCAACTTAAAATGTTGCATCCATGGATTCATTGCGTGCAAACAGAGGCATTCAGAGACATGTAATGAGCCTTTTTTTCTACCAGATGGCACTGCAACTTTTTTGTAGTTCACCCCTTAGAATTGCTTCCGTTTCTTTCTTTCTTTTTTTCTTGTGCCATTTGCCGGCTCCCTGCCCCCAGCTGTGTGTGGCAGGACACGGAGTGGGGGGCCCTGGACTAGAGGGGGCGGAGGGGCAGAGCTGGACCATCTCACGCTCCTGTGGTTCCGGCCAGGGACCGGACTTAAATCATTTGAAAACCTAGTACATGCAAACACTGATGCGATGCTCCAAAATAAACAAGTTTTAAATGTTATAAACCTATTTAATTTAATGAGGATTAAACCCTGTGGTGTGTACAGGCGCCCAAAGGCAGTAACTCAAACCAAATGCCTGAAAATCACTCAGCCTGCCTTTTCACTTGAGAGCAGGACTTTCATCTGGCTCCTAGGCAGTGATCGTCTTTGCTGCCTCGCTTCTCTCAGAGCTGGATGTGCTGCCCTTTGAAGTCGGGGGTTTTCAGTGGGCTTTGAATCAAGTCCTGAGGGCTATGGCTCGAGGTGGATTCTGTCTATCACGCTCGTTTAGTTTCACGGCTTCCGCTTAAAATTGGAAGTTTTGAGGAGAAAGCGAGGGACTGAGAGAGAGGCCTTGGGTGCACAGGGAAAGAG